CTAAGTTCGTGGTAATTTGTTATAGCAGCAAGAGGAAACTGATATATTTGCCCTTTCTCTTCTCTTATTGACTTGTAAGTTTTGTGATTAAATCTATCCTATTTCAGTATCATTAGGATAGTTTTCTATATTTTCTTCTAAGTTTTCAAGTTTGCTTTTCACATTTAGGCTGCCGTTAATCCATCTGGAACACATTTTTGTGTTTGGAGTAAAACAGCATTCTAACTATCTTTTTCCATGTAAAGTGCCAATTGTCTCAATACCATTTATTTAACAGATCATAACAGCCCACTAGAATGCTATTTCTGTCACCTTACAAATTCCCTTCTTTATGTAGGTCAGTTTCTTCTACTCTGTCCTGTTCCACTGCTCTATTTGTCTCTCCTTGTACCAATGCCTACTATCTTAATTCTTATTGATATACGAGGCAATAGGTATTTGGTAGGACAAGTGATCTTGCCTATTCTTAAAAAATACCTTAGCTATTTTGGAGCCTTATTTTTTAAAAATTAATTTTAAGATAAGCTTCTCATGTTTTACCACCGTACACCACCCAACCCCCCTAAAAAAAAGACAAAAAATTCTGTTAGCATTTTGCCTGAAATTGTATTAGTTGGGGGAACACCACAACAATATTGAGTCTCTTCATCTATAAAAGCTTATATCTCTCCACCTTCTATATTCTTCAATGAAGTTTTTATAGTTTTCTCCATATAGGACTCACTTGCCTTGTGTTAGATTTATTCCTAAGTACCATGTGGTTTAATTGCTATTTATTCTTGTAATTCTGCAACTTTCAAAAATGCACATTGACCCTAATAACTATTATTAGAGTCATGAGTTGACAATTTTGTTTCTTCCTTTATACTATTCTTTGTTTTAATCTTATAAAAGTGGCTAGGACTCCAGGATAACGTTGAGTAGACGTGATGATAGTGCAGATCTTGGTCTTCTGCCTGAATTTAAAGGGACATGCTTCAAATGTCTGACTAGGAAGTTGATGTTTACTATAAGTTTCTGTTGGCCTTCATTTTCAAAATGTGCACAACAGCTAAATATTAAATATATGTGGGTTCAGTTGAAAACTGAACAGTAACCAAACTCTTCCACGCTTTTATAAACTCATGGCTTCCTTTCATCCTGTGGCTGGATTTACAGTCTTCTATTTATAGCTGCGCACCTTATTCTGTACTCGTGCATAGAATGACCTGCCAATTCTTATTCGACCTGTTAACATCATTTATGTCATCACCATCATCATTTCATCTGAAGTCTTTCTAGAACCTCCTGTTATGATGTTTCTTTTGCTTTGCCGACTTATGCCTGCCAGAACTGGATTATTACTTCAAAGGTGGCCGACTGCCATGCCAAGCCACCGTGGAGTCAGTGAAGCAGCAATGCGTGGACTGCTGCTCCCACGAAACATGGTAAAAGCAGGTTAACCCAGATGCTACTAGGCCAATACTTAAAACATTTTGTTTAGTTTTTCCACCCACTGCCAGCTCCTAATCCACTGTTTTGGGGACTGTTATATGGCATAACCTTATTGAAAGCTAATATACCACCTTATTCCCTCAGACCATGTGAGTCCTAAGGTTGAATAGATATTCTTTTTCATTTTCAATTAGACATATTCCCAGGATACTTATTTGCAACAGAGCTGGAGGCTGTCAAAGAATCAAAAATACTTGTTTTAACAGTTTATTTACATATGAGTAAACTTAGTGCAATAACTTGACCTGCCCAAGGTCACATTAGTGAGAAGCAAAACTACAAAGTATGCTCCCAGCTTTTTTCCCTGTAAAATGACTGCAAATTATGCATCTATGTACCGCTGGAATGTGACATTTGTCTGCACAAAGAGCAATCAGCCTGGAGCAAACTGTCACTGCAAAACATACTGATCTTGTATGAAGATAAAGGCTTAAGACTCCATTAGGACACTTCAGCATTAAGTCACAGCACATCTGGGAATGCCAACTATAAGTAACACCCTCAGAATTCTACAGTTTTAACTAATAAAAAAGTGAGGTCAAAGGATTAGCTCATATATATGGAATGTCAACTCAACTGGGCCGAGACATATCCTGGAATGAATCCACGATCACACCGGATTGTGGCCCAATCACACTGGAGTGGTATTAACAAGTCTACAGAAAAAGGCACATCAATCCTTAAGTAAGATCGCAGTAGGGGGAGAGGGGATACGGAAGGATCATAGAAGCAGCATGGATAAGAATGTGTCTAGCAATTTACAGGGAAAGAAGACACAGAATCTGGAGAAAGTGAGCAGCTGGACCTGGGGGTGGGGGAGGAGGCTCTTTTGTGGGGAATGTTAGCCCAGGTCAGCTAATCTCAAAATATCCACTTCATTTTACCCATATCTATGTTTCATAAATAACCTTCTGATGACTAAGTCAGCTTCCCATGTTCTCTCAGAGAGTCAGAAAAATGTCCAAGACAGAATTCCATTACTAGAATCCACCTAGTACAAACTACCTAGTTGACCTCCTGGTTTATACTGTATATCAGTTTCCTATGTCTGACCAACTCGGAGCTTTGGGGCCACCGGGGTAAAGCATGGCTGGCTTCACCAAGGAAATGCTCCCCGCTAAGGCCTCTTCATGGTCAATCTGTGGGTGATTGCTGGGCATGCCCAAGCTCACCTCATACTCCTTCTGTTTCAACATCAAACCTACTGTGTAAACATATTAAAGCACGCCATGCAAAGGCATTAAGAAAATGAAAGTGCTGTCCTTACATAAAATGAACATACTCTTTAGTCAGTTCTTGGAGGGAAAAGGCTATAGCTCTCAAATCCTTCCCAGGAGGCACCTTTGCGTACACCACCTAGATTCCACTGAACCAAAACTGGGACATGCAACCACACAACTTACATTAAAACATTTCTGTTTTCACTACGAATTTGAATTATTCATTTTTGACTTCCTAGATGTAAAAGAATTGTAACTCTTCAAAGAAAAACAGTAATACTCATTCATTTTGACTCTGTTTCTAAAATACCCTCCTTAGAAATTTAGGAGTTGAACTCTCTGCATCAGTCCTGTAAATTCCTTTCAAGAAGGTACTTTCACATTTCGAACTACCTATTTTGCTTTTAGAATTAATACCAAATAATTACCTGTCTGCTGGTCTGACCACTAAAAATCCCTAAGAAAATTTCTTTCCCAGTAAATGTAGACTACTTTGCAATGCCCTTTTCAGCCTTATCAATACCTGGGAAGACTGACCAGACCACATTCTTTTTTCAACCAGTTTTCCTCCCACAGACAGGAAGCATCAGTAGCCACTTAGTTTTTCCAAGTGTCTAAGGGGCACTGAGAGAGACCAAGGATTCTATTTCTATTCTTGTTCCTCAGCCAAGGCTCTATTTTTAGCCCGATACCAAGAATACTCTATCCAGGAATGCCCTGTGTAATAAGCCTACATTGCTTGGGCTGTGATCAAAGATCCTGAGTATGGCCATTATCCTTGAAGTCAGCTGTGGCTGAAGGGTATGAGTCACTCCAACCACAGTGCAGGGCTTTGAACCATCTCGGCATAAATCTTAGCTCTCACCAAATGCTCCTAGGAAATCCTCACAGCTAGACATCTGGAAAATACCCCAAATCCTCACTTCTTCCTCTGCACACACACTGCTAATCAGGAGCCCAGAACTGGTGCCCCAGAGCAGCGACCCTGTTTTTCTCACATTTAAAATTCTAAGTACGATAGAAAGGAGAAACCACGTACTCCATTAATATGGACCTCCAAGGTGACCCAGACAATTCTGCACACAACAGGCAGGAAAGCCCTACTTCCCCCAAAACAAGGTTTGAAATCAATACCAGTGGTGGTCCATGCCCTAAAGTAACATTGTAAACCTGCAGGGCAAATTGTTATGTGATTTAATAATGAAACAATCATATTATTATTTTTATTAAGCAGCTGTAACAATTACAACCATGATACTAACAGCTAACACTTATCAAGTGCTCACCAGGGGTTGGGCATTTTACAACCATCATCTTATTTAATATACCAGTGGCCTCAAAAGTTCTCTTGGGCTGGTCGAGTGGCTCAGTTGGTTAAGAGCTAGCTCATGAGTGCGAACTCTGAGCAACAGGGCCGCTGGTTAAATTCCCAAATGGGCCAGTGAGCCGTGCTCGAGCTGAGCTGCCACTGAGCTGCCAACAGGTGGCAGGATGGCTCAGTTGGTGAGAGCAATGCTCCTAACAAGGTTGCCTGTTCGACTCCCGCATGGAATGGTGGGCTACGCCCACCCGCAACTAAAGATAGAACTCAGCACCTTGAGCTGAGCTGCCACCCAGGTGACTCAGAGGATAGTGCATGCACTCTTAACAACAAGGCTTCCAGTTTAACTCCCGCATGGGATGGTGTCTACGCCCACCTGCAACTAAGATTGAACTCGGCACCTTGAGCTGAGTGGTGCAACTAGACTTGGAGCTGAGCTTGCTGCGCCCTCCACAACTAAGATTGAAGGACAACAACTTGGCTGTTCCCCTTCCCCAATTCCCCAATAAAATCTTAAAAAAAAAAAAGTAAAGCAGTGTTTAAAAAAATAAAATAAAGTACTCTTATCTTTTATAGATGAGGAAACTAAGTAAGTTTACCAATGTCACCCAAACTGGTTAAAGTATCAGACTGGGATTTAAGCTCAGGCCTATATTATTGGGTTGTTGGAAAAGTCATGATGTATTTTTTCTGTTTTTTGTTACAAAAATGCATCATGATTTTTCTGACAACCCAATACTTTAGATCCTGAGATTAGCATTCCTGATCAAAAAAAAAAAAAAAAAGGAAAATATCAATATCGCATATTGGTTGGAATTCACAAGTGAATCTCAATTTTACAGTCCACAAGTAAATTACTCAAATTTTCATCTTTGCCCATGTATCATTTCTTCCAACTTCACATTCTCATTCGTGGTAATGAAACGAGACAAGAAAAAGTCTTATACATTCGGCAAAGTACTTACATAGTCAATGGGCTTAAGGGATTTGACTTTAGATGTTGAGCAGCCACAGGAAGTAAGGTCAGCATAGAGGCCTTCTTCTAACACACACTGGTTATTAGCAATGTCCTCTTGGTAGTACAGGAGCCAGCTAAAAAGACAAGCCATGAGACATTCAGTCAGACCGTATCAGCTGGTAGTGTAGGCTCCTCGTCACACTGTGGGAACCAGGCTAGGGAGACGACATACCCACCATCAGTTTTAAAAAAAAAAACAGCTATCACTATCATTTATTAACAGCTTATCATGTGTCAGACACAGGCTAAGTACTTTACATATATTATTTCACTGGGTCCTCAAAAATTCTATGAGATAGAAACATATTCTTATTTTTATAGGCAACACAATGAAGGCTTAGAAAGGTTAGGGGATTTCCCCAAGGTCTCCCCAACTATTAAATGGTAGAGCTAAAATGTGAAATTAGAAGATATCTGCTTTAAAATACAGACATTCATTTAGTGCCTTCAAGTACAAAAGTGTAGGATCACATTATAGTGATTACTAAGTTCTTGAACAAGTTAGACATTTCTTTGGCGGGGGAATAAAAATTTGTATCCTTATATAATAATGAGTTTGCCTTTAGTCTAGAAGCTAGACTCCTAAAATCACACAACAGTATATAAAATCTGTCCCCTGCACATCTGATGGCTAATGGAAATTTTTAAAAAGAAATAAGCTCTTTAGAATCTTCAATATTGCGTTTTTTTCAATACAGCACTCATCGAAAGCGTTGTTAAGACAAGCCCTTTTGAAAAAAAGGAGCCCAAGGGGGAAATGAATTGGCTGTTACTGCTTCAGTTTTGGTGTATTTAAGTTGTAGCTGTGTATTTGCAGATCACCAGAACCAGACGCTAACTAGACCGGGTTAACTTTGGGAAATTACAGAAATGCTGTGACATTATAATGTACTGTCATGTCCTCTATATAATAAGCATTTTATAGCCAACATTTGTCAAAGGCTTTTAATGTGTCAAGCATGGAGTTAAGCCCTCCATATGCCTTTTTTATTTAGTCCTTATAAGAATCCTTTGTGGTAGGTACTATTATTACCCCTCCTTTAGATGAGGAAACAGGTTCAGAGAGATGATCCAATATGTTTAAGGTTACACAGCTAGGAAGCAATGGAACCTGGCTCAAACCCAGATCTCTCAAGCATTCCAGATACTGAAGCAACTGCCATGGTTCTTGTATTCTTTTTTTTTTTTTTAAAGATTTTATTGGGGAATTGGGGAAGGGGAATAGTGTTGGGGAATTGGGGAATGGGAACAGCCAAGTTGTTGTCCTTCAATCTTAGTTGTGGAGGGCGCAGCTAGCTCAGCTCCAAGTCCAGTCGCCATCCGGCTGCCCATCGTCAGCTTTGGGCAGCTCAGCTCAAGGTGCCGTGTTCCATCTTAGTTGCGGGTGGGCATAGCCCACCATCCCATGCGGGAGTCGAACCGGCAACCTTGTTCTTAGGAGCATGTGCTCTCAGCAGCTGAGCCATCCTGCCACCTGTTGGCAGCTCAGCGATAGCTCAACTTGGGCGCAGCTCACTGGCTCAAGTAGGAATCGAACTGGCAGCCCTGTTGCTCAGAGCTCGCACTGTTAACCAACTGAGCCATTCGGCTGGCCCTCTCGTATTCTTTTATTAAACTGTAGTTTAATAAACGCCACACAAATATAAATAAATATAATGTATATTATAAATATAAAATGTATATTTTATATATAAATTATATACATATTTATATATAAATATCTATTCCCTATATGAAGTGACATATGTGACTAATTTTTCCTAGACTGCAGTTTCAGGAAACAAATTTCCTCTGGAAAAATATCAGCACTTCCTCTTATCAGAAAATTAAAAAAAATATTTTGCAAGATATATTATTTTAATAGAGAAGAAACTCAGAATCAAGTACTAGTAACAAAATTATTTCAGGTCTTTGGTATATATATTTCTCTCTCACTAAAGAGTTGCAGATAATCTTTTGAACTTACAGTGTCCTACTTTATGTGTTTTAATATTGTAAAACTCTCATATCCTTTTTGGAAGTAAGTATAAAAATAGTTACATATACAGAGAGGTTCAAAGTAGTGAGAGCTATAGACAATTGAGGGAGAAAAAACTGCTTGAATTAGTCAAGAAGGTTAATAAAGGGAACGGACTGAAACCAAAAGCTGTATTCTGCTTAGTAGTAAGCAGGGGTCATGAACTGACATACCTGTAGGAGGTCAGGCAGGTAATGTGAGCAGTGTACCAGGTTAAAAAAAGGGGGGGGGGATACATCGTATGGCATATTGGGAGCACATGTGCCATCTACTTAACACCAGCTAATCACTGCCAAAGGCAAATGCTTCACCAGAGTTTTCAAATCTTCTAATTTTTAAAGAGAAGGTGGAAAACAGGTTCTTCTGAAAAATATTCTAAAGTATTGACACAAAAATTTTTTTAAACATAGAGTGGAGGCCAAACAAATAACGTCTGCTGTTGGCTTGTGGTCCAAATTCACCCCATTGCCTATGTTCGTACAGCTCACAAGATAAGACTGGTTTTTGCATGTTTAAACGGCTTTAAAGAGTTAAAAGGATATTTCATGACATGTGAGTATTATATACAATTCAGATGTTTAATGTCCATAAACAGAGTTTCATTGGATACACAGCCATACCCATTCGTTTATGTCTTGTCTACGGCTGCTTCTGTGCTACAGTGGCAGTGTTGAATAGCTGGGATGCAGCCTGTATGGCCCACACAGCTCAAAATATTTATCACTATGTATAGAAAAAATTTGCTGACCCTTGCTATCGAGGGTAAGCGGGAAATACATAGCTGAGTAAATGTTGGAAGAGGGAGCATGGGAGACAGCATAAGGATAGAATGGAGGATGGCTAGGAAAAAGGAGACTAGTGGATGGTGAATCGTGGAAAAGAAGGAGTTTGAACTTTATCTGACTAGTATTAGAGAATGACTGCGGGATTTAAAGCAGAGTAGTAAAAATATTAAACTGGATTTTGGGACAAATAAATGGGCCATGATTGGGTTGTGGTAAACAACGGAAGTAATACAATACTGGAGCAGGGTCACTTAGGAGACTGAAGTTCCTCAAATGGAAAACAGAAGATCCTAGTCTCTACTGATTCAAGAAAGCAAAGAGAGCTGATGCATCCAAGGTATCCTGAAGAACAACTATGGGAACTTTGATGAGTTATTAGGTAGATATTTCATACTTAGAGATGCCACTGAACTGTAGTTAAAATGGTAAATTTTACGTTATGTATATTTTACCACAGTAAAAAGTCAATAGATTGAATTTATATATTGGTCTTGAGAATCACATACAGTTTCATATACATGTAGAAGATCCAGTATGTTGCTCTAGTTGGAGGAACACAGGATTTAATAAAAAATGACCAAAGCAATCCTGGGTCTGATATTTGGTGTGTAATCTTGGGGAAACCCTAACTCTGAATCAGGGATCCTTATCTGTGAAATGCAGATGATAAATACCTTAAACAAACAAAAAATATTTTTTAAATTTAAGAAGGTCTTATTTGAACAAAAGCACTAATTTTTATAGCATTCTATTATGCTATACAATAAACATACAATATAAACATTCAGAATATTTAAAAAATCATGTAACGGTAAGAAAAAAAATCACCAAGATGCTCCCAAAAATGGCTAATTAGCATTGTTTCTATTACACAATTGCCCATATTGGGCAAATATAGGCTAATTAGCAGTTAACCAATGATTTTTTTTTTAAATTTCACTATGTATACAAAAAAAATAAAACAGGTCAAATCTTTGTGAATTTGGAAGAAATTTAGTTGTTAAACAACAGTAGAAAGCACTCAATAAGCATACTTACCAACCCCGAAGAACTTTAAAAGAACATGGAATGAATGAAGTTAAATCCGAAATTTCTTGTGTAAAATCTATACATTCACCTTGGAACCCGGGTTTACTGAATGCTTTGAGCTACAAAAATAACACAACAAACAGAAAACAATCGTTTGACATCATCACAAAAGCAAAAGAAAACCTTCAGTATCATGTCCTTATAAAAAGTTCAGCAAAATATCAGACTCATGTTTTATCTATTATCAAGGAATCCATATTAAGGATGGCATTTTCCTTAAATTCACATTTTTTTTCCTTCCATGGTTCCAAGAATGTCACCATATAGAGAGGGTGTCAAAAAATGTGCCAAAAAAATGTATAAACATTTTAAGAGATGTTATCTTAAAATGTGCATGTATTTTTTTGGCACCCCGGTATTTACAATTTTCAGCTATCTCTTACATCAGATTCTGGGCACAGAAGCCCAGAAAACAATTCTACCTATAAAAGTAAATCAGAATGTTTCCTCCATTAATTAAAATGTTGTCCTTGTCCAGTATATCAAACTATTATTATCTCCTGTGGGGAGACTACCAGTATAAAGCAAGCAGCAATTTAGCACTAAACGCGAAGGAGCTTTGGATTAGGATGAGGGGTGGGTGGTATGCCCCTTCTCTCTCCAAGTCTTCAAGGTTCAGTTCATAGAAGGGAGGAGGAGAGAGCATGAACACACGCCCATAAGTGAGCATGACAGAGCCTGTGAGAACACAGGAGCAGATGGTGGAGAAGATCATAACGAAGGGATTAGTGGAAGACTCATGGTAAAGACAGAAAGATGTCTGTGTCACGCATTTCAGCTTATAGGCTTCAGTTGAGTGATAAGAATGCCTAGAATGTACAGCTTACAGTTATATACAGCTACATTTCTATTTCTGTCCTTTTTGTCAAGAAAAGTCCACGAAATCTCAATTATAAATCCCTTCAGACCAGAGATATAATCTGCACCTTTAGTGACCTTAGATCTATAATAGGTAAGAAAAAATTAATGAGCCCTATAAATATTTCATAATCCACCAGAGCCTTGAAATAACATGGCCCACAGGTTCATCCTGCACTGACAGGCCTGCACTGTAGCTAAGAGTGCATAATTAACTATCTGCAGCATCACCCTTTCTCCTGTTCACACTGTCAGAGAGAACAAGGCTTCTTTGAGGAGCTGATGTTTGCCTCCTTCACCTTCCCAAGGGCACTCTCTGAGGCTGGTAGTCTCTGAGTTAGGAAGAATTATTTCTTAACTATCTAATTCTGCTCTGACCTTGCTTAGTCCAACATCAATGATCAGCCAAAACTAGAGAGGTGAGAGAACCAGTTCTCTCTGACCAACTGCAGCTTGCACAACATGGCTTCCTACTGTGAAAGCAGGCTGTATTTGGAGCTTAAAACACCAAGGGGCTCCCTGACTTAATGAGCTGCAAGTTGCTACCATGGTCCTTCCGGAAGAGACAGAGGGGAGCAACAAAATGGAAGTCCAAACCAAGACAGACCTCTGGAACCATTCCCTGTACAAGAACAATTCTACAGGTCCAGGAAAACAGCCCCTAAATTCCCTGAGAAGAGCATATATTTTGGTTCATGGCTTTTCAGGCTATGTGTTTTTAACTTCAAGGTTTATAAAACAGGAGTCTAAAGGTAATCACATGTAACTTCCAAAAATGTAGAGTGATTTCTCTTACATGCAAATATTATCCTAAATCAAATGAGAAACAGGAAAACCTCATGAGAACAGAGATCACAGCTGTTTCAATCATTACTTGCATTCCCAGTTTATTTCATTATTTTCATATTGTTGAGCTTAAGATTCATACTTCAATATTTCACCAAGAAACCATGAATTGTCAAATCCTGGACAACTGACAATGCAAGTTAAGCATACTTCAGATGATATACTAGGGGTGCCAAAAAAATATATACACATGACTTGTATTCATCTTTTGTTATTAGTATATATTATTACAATTTTAATACCGATTTTTTTGCCTTTCTTAAATGTATATACATTTTTTTGGCACCCTGTGTATATAGTAGCCACCTCTACTTTTAAGTCTCAGTCTTCATACCCAGAAGCATTAATTAAAATTCACACACACACACACACACACACACACACACACACACACACACACACAATCTGCCATAAAGTATTATTTTGATTTATGGGTTAAAATATTCTTTATCCAAACTAAAAAATTGGGCTTAAGGCTGGTCTGAGTTTATTTTATTTTTACTCCCCAAATGAGATATGGTTCTTCCAAAAGTGGCCAACTCTAGGAAAGTAACATCTCATTCTGACTACCTCACAAATATCTCAGAACAATTTTCATAATGTCGTGAGGATGGTCCATATAGAAACCAACTCAACACTTAACTGCAATAATTAAATTGTGGTTTCTACTCTTGGTGAAATAAAATGACAGTGATTTGTTAAAATACAGTCCTCTGAAAAGCTAGCTGGATAACTATCTTGGTTTCCTTTCTAGATTAAAGTAGAATAAATGCACAAAACAAGTCATATAGGTTTAGAACATATGAAAGTAGTCACAAGGAACAAAAGATGAGTTCATTTAAATAAAATCATAAATGAAAGAGAACTGACAACACTACAGAAATACAAAGGATTACAGGAAAACACAACAAACAATTGTATGTGAACAAATTGGACAATCTGGAAGAAATGGATAAATTCCTAGAAACATAAAGTCTTCCAAGACTGAGTCAAGAAGAAACAGAAAATCTGAACAGACCTGTTAACTATTATAGAAACCAAATCAGAAATAAAAAAACTCCCAATGAAAGTCTTGGACCAGATGGCTGCACAAGTGAATTTTACCCTACACTCAACAATTAATACCTATCCTTCTTAAACTATTCCAAAAAATTCAGGAGGACAAAAGGCTCTCAAGCTCATTTTACAAGGCCAGCATTACCCAGATTTCAAAACCAGGACAAAAACATTATAAAACAATAAAACTATAGGCCAATATCCCTAATGAATATAGATGCAAAAACCGTCAACAAAACATTAGCAAATTGAATTCAGCAATTCATCAAAAAGATCATACACCATAATCAAATGGGATTTATTCCTGGGATGCAAGGTTGGTTCAGTATCTGCAAATCAATCAACATGATACACCACATAAACAAAATGAAAAATAAAAATCATATGATCATATCAATCAACAGATGCAGAAAAAGCATTTGATAAAATCCACCATCCATTTATTATAAAAACTCTGAGCAAAGTAGAAGCCAAGGGAACATATCTCAACATAAAGGCCGTATATGACAAACCCACAGCTAACATCATACTAAACAGTGAGAAACTAAAAGTATTTTTTAAAGATCAGGAATAAGATAAGGATGTCCTCTTTCACCATTTTTATTCAACGTAGCATTGAAGTTATAGCCATAGCAATCAGACAAGAAATAAAAGGCATCCACATCGAAAAGGAAGATGTAAAACTGTCATTTGCAGATGACATATTATATACAGAACCCTAAAGATTCCACCAAAAAACTGTTAGAACTGATAAATGAGTTCAGTAAAGTAGCAGGATACAAAATTAATATTCAGAAATTAGTTGCATTTTATACACCAATAATGAATTATCAGAAAGAGAAATTAAGAAAACAATCCCATTTATTTGTATCAAAAAATACCTAGAAATAAATTTAACCAAGTAGGTAAAAGACCTACACTTGGAAAATGAGAAGACATTGAAGAAAGAAACTGAAGAAGGTAGACATAAATGGAAGCATGTACCGTGCTCATGAATAGGAAGAATTAAAATCATTAAAATGTCCATACTACACAAAGCAATCTATAGATTCAAGGCAACCTCTATCAAAATACCAATGGCATTTTTCACAGAACTGAACAAATAATCTTAAAATTTACATGGAACCACAGAAGATCCTGATTAGCCAAAGCAATCTTGAGAAAGAAGAACAAAGCTGGAGGTATCATGCTACTTGATATCAAACTATACTACAAGGCTATAGAAAACAAACAGCATGATTGGTACTGGCATAAAAAGAGACACACAGATTAATGGGAACAGAATAGAGAACCCAGAAATAAATCCATACCTATATCGCCAATAAATCTAAGACAAAAGAGGTAAGAATATACAGTGGGGTAAAGACATTCTATTAAATAAGTGGTGTTGGGAAAACTGGATACATACATAAAACTACACCACTTTCTTACACCATATACAAGAATAATCTCAAAATGCATTAAAGACTTAAATGAAAGACCTAAAACCACAAAACTCCTAGAAGACAATATAGGCAATAAACTCTCTCACACTGCTCTTAGTTTTTTTTCTATATGTCTCCTTGGGCAAGGGAAACAAAAGGAACATAAACAAATGGGACTACATCAAACAGAAAACTTTTTGCACAGCAAAGGAAACCATTAACAAAAGGAAAAGATAACCTACCTAATGGAAAAAGATCTGCGCCAATGATACATCTGACAATGGGTTAATTTCCAGAATTTATAAAGAACTCAAACAACTTACCACCCCATACACAAACAATCCAATTAAAAATTGGGCAGAGAACCTGAATAGACATTTCTCCAAAGAGGACATACAGATGGCCATAGACATATGAAAAGATGCTCAACATCACTAATCATCAGGAAAATTTAAATCAAAACCATAATGAGATAGCACCTCACACCCATCAGAATGGTCATCAATAAATTAACAATGAAGTGTTAGGAAGGATGTGGAGAACAGGGAACCCTCGTGCACTGTCACTGGGACTGCAAATTGATGCGGCCACTACAGAAAACAGTATGGAGGTTCCTCAATAAATTAAAAATAGAACCACGTTATGACCTACAAATTCCACTTCTGGATATTTATCTAAAGAAATTAAAAACAGGGGCCAGCCGAGTGGCTCAGCTGGTTAAGAATTGGCTCAAGAGCGTGAGCTCTGAGCAACAGGGCCGCTGGTTCGATTCCCACATGGGCCAGTGACACTGCACCCGAGCTGAGCTGTCACTGAGCTGCCAACAGGTGGCAGGATGGCTCAGCTGGTATAACAAGATTTCCTGTTTGATGGTG